AAAATAAAATAACTTTCCCAGCACTCAGGAAGGCAGAGACAGGTAGATCTCTGGGAGTTCGATGCCAGCCTTGTCTACAAAGCAAGTTCAGAACAGCCAAGCCTACACAGAAAAAAACCTGTCTTGAAAAACTAAAACCAAAACCAAATAAATAAATAAAATAACTTTTAAATATCTATTAAATATTTACTCTTTGTTTTTTTAAAATATTTACTTTTATTACATACTTACTTTTTTGTTTACTTTTATGCATGTGAGTGCATGTCTGTTTAAGTGTATGACTGTGTGTACATATGCCTGAGGAGTCCAGATGAGTGCATTGGATCTGTGGAAAGGGGGTTACAAGTGGTTGTGAGCATCCTGCTGTGGGTGCTGGTAAATGAATTCAGGTCCTCCAGAAGAGGAGTTAAGCGCTCCTAACTAGTGAGCCATCTCCCCAGCCATCTGTAAAATACTATTAATCAAAGAATTAATTAAAATGAGTTTAGGAAATATCTAGAAACAAAACTAAAAACATCTTAATAGCAATAGTGCTTAGGAAAAAAATCACTAATTTTCAGTGTCTATCACTAAATAAGAAAAAAAAAAACTAAAAACATTGGTCAAAAGGGTATTTAACTTAAAAAGTTAGCAAACTATTGATATGCTAAGAAAAATAGATGAAAAATACTAGAAAAATAAAATAAAATATTAATGAATGAAAACACAGAACAGATATTTTTCCTTATTTTGCAAATTTATTCTAAATGGAACCCAGAAAGAAAGCAGAAAGAAACAAAAAACTTGATTAAACAAAAATTAATTGATAGCAAACAATAAGAATAAGAGTAGAAAAAAAATGGCTATGGTATAGGAAAATTAACAGTCATTAGGAGTAAGTAGAAATGCTGAGAATCAGATTTTTGCTGTGTTCACTGAGGTAGCCGAAGAAGTTAGCCAAGCACACAAAATCAATGTGTTGGATAAATTAACAAATACACTTTTCCTATGTTCTATAACAATAGTATATTTTGAGAAAAATACAAATTTACAAAACTGGTCTTTGATGAAAAAGAAAATATACAGACTCTCTATGCACAGAGATAAAATTTTGAGGTAAACATCCCTTACACGTTTTTACATTAATTTTTTACTTTTATGCATTTATTTATATATTTGTTTATTTATTGTGAATATATATATTTGTACATATATATATTTGTATTCATGTGAGAGGGTGTTGTGGAGGTCAAAGGTCAATGTCAAATGCCATTCCTGTTTCTCCACTCTCCACCTTATTTTTGAGGCAGGGTCTCTCATTGAATCTTGAACTTGCTAATTCAGCTAGACTCATGGTTGCGCAGTAAGCCAGGGCGACCCTGTTGTTTTGGCTTGACTGGCAGTAGGGTTTGTACTGCAGGTTTGTACTGCTGTAGCAATGGCAATGGAATTCAAGTCCTTATGCTTGTGTGCCAAACACTTTACTAACTGAGGCATTTCCTCAGAAATGCTCATTTCTTGATCTGCATGTCAGGAATGTGGGTATGCATAAATGTGAAAAATATTCCTGAGCTGCATGCTGCAGATTTGTGGACTCCATGTGCTTTGCTCTGTGTGTGGATATATCTACATGTTGTACTTTAACATGAAGAACTTGTACATGGCTCAATGAAGGGACAGAACTGATGAGTGTCTAGCATTACTCAGCTTTCCTAAGTCCTTTCCTGTGTGTTCGCTTGTTCCTGTGAAAAGATGTCATGCAAACTTCTCAACACTTTAGTGCCTCTGTTTGTCGGGCAAGTAAGTGCCCAATGTGACCCTGAAAGTACTGTTCTATCCCTGCCCCAGATCAACAAGAGCACAAGGGTATGGATTCACTTTAAGGTGTTTAAAAAAAATTATCCAATTTCGGAAAAGAGTGAAAGAAATTGAACTGTGCACTTTTGGTGCTGTGAGAACATTGCTCAGCATGCTTCCTCACAAGCTACCTGGTTTCCAAGGGAACCCGTAGGCTATCTTTGTTGGCTATATGTGCAGACTTGTACAAGTCTCTGTGTGTATGTGTGTTTATGTGTGTAATTTGTTTGATTATATTTTTTGAGTTGGAGTCTCACTTTGCAACCCATATTACCCACAAACTCACTGCAATCATCCTGCTTTATGCTCCCAAATCTTGGGATTACAGGAGTAGGTCATCATACCCAGCTAGTATACTTGATGTTCTGTTAACTATTCATGGTAAGGGACCCCTAGGTCTATCCTCAGATTCAATGACTTACTACAAGAACTCATAGAACTCAGGAAAGCAATCATACTCATGGATATAGCTAATGATAATGCAAGGGTATAGGTTATAATTATCCACGGTACAAGAAGCACAGGCTAGCTGAGCAGTGGTGGTGCACACCCTTATTTTCGGCACTCAGGGGGGCAGAGGCAGGCATATCTTTGGGAGTTCGAGGCTAGCCTGGTCTACAGAGTGAGTTTCAGGACAGCCAAGGATATACAGAGAAACCCTGTCTTGGGAGGAGGAGGAGGAGGAGGAGGAGGAGGAGGAGGAGGAGGAGGAGGAGAAGAAGAAGAAGAAGAAGAAGAAGAAGAAGAAGAAGAAGAAGAAGAAGAAGAAGAAGAAGAAGAAGAAGAAGAAGAAAAAGAAGAAGCAGCAGCACAGGCTAGAGTCTATGTGGGAAATTAGACACAGGCTTCTACTGTTTTCTCCCAGCAGAATTGCATAGCTAGTTGCTTAATTGCCCCCAAACAATCGTGTATAGCAATTTATATTCACTAGTGTTAACCAGAGAATCCATCTTTGGTTTAGGTTCAGTGTTCTTGTTCTGATCAGCCCCTTAGCCATGAAGCCCTGGTATGGCTGAGCCTGGTCTATCTCCAGACTCTGTAAGACAAACTAAGATCATATGGTTGAAAGTTCTCACATCATCACTTATTACCATAAACTATCCAATGGCCCAGATATGGCAACATTCTTCTCAAGAATGCTATTCCAGTGTCATCTTCCTTGAGTTGTTAAAGGACAGATTTGGGATATAAGGAGTGGTAGCATCTTAGATCTCCTGGAGTCAGTCACCCAACTGCCTTATGGGTTTGTGAGGACAACAGCCTTTCACTGACAGCGGTGATGAGCACGATGATCACTCGGCAGGGTGTGAAGGATCTTCATGCAGGGAGAAATGATTAAATCTGGTAGGAAAAGTAAACTCAGAGGCTTCGTGGTTTTGCAGTTGTTGAGAACACTGACTCACTTCCTTTACTTCTTCTCATTTCCTTCCACCCCTTCCTTTTTCCCCCTTAGGCACTGACCCTGAGGCTTCTCATGTGCTAGTCAAACACTAAGTGATATCTCAGTCCTGCTCTTACTTTTGACTCTAAGACACAATCTCACCAAATTGCAGGCTGGACTTGAACTTGTGTTTTTCTTGTCTCAGACTCCCAACTCGCTGGGACTACAGGTCTGTGCCATTATGCCTGGCTTCACAGTAGTTTTTACATCAGCTTGTCCGATTCTGTCGTTGATGTGATATTGAAATCATTGGTATGTTTTCACTTTGTGTTCACATAAGAATAATATTTCTAAATGTTTAAAGATTTTGCTTTGACTGTTTTCTATCATTTCTGTACACAGCTGGTGAGCCTTGGTCTTCAGTGTTGTTTTGTTTATTGCAGCAACTCTGAAGTGATGGAAGCAGGATGCAAAATCTAGTGCTCCATTGCTCTAAAGGTCCCCTGGAAGTCTATTATTTTGTCTCTATCACCTCATGATACAGCCTGTTTCTCATGAATGAGAATCAGAGACTGGAGTAGACTAAGTTAATGAACTTGGGGATTTGGTACCCAGGAGCCATACATTCAGGGAAGGTTCATATTCAATCACCTGGGCCCCAGGGTATATGTAGACTTAGTTACTGTTCTGTGATTGTCAGATTTTATATGAGCAGTAGATGGGCAATTTAGAGGGGCAGGCTTAGGTCTTAGGAATATAAGTATGTTCAACCTTTACTGTCTTCATAAGTATGCCCAAAAAATGTACACACCAAAAAGTACTGAAAACATGAGCTCATTGTTCATGTCCTTATGGCCGTTCCTAGTGCTCTGTCATTCTGGATGATACTGCATCATGGATGTTTCTCAGAATAGCCAAAATAGACAGGTAAAAAAAAAAAGACTCTGGAGTGCTAATGTGTAGGGAAACCACATCAAACTAGCAGCAGCAGCAGCATGGCTTACACAAGGGAAATTGATTACTTCAGAATTCCCAAGGCTAGTGGTCTGAAACCAAGGTGTTTGTAGTGTGTTGTCAGTTCCTTCTGAAAGAACATCTCTTATTTAGTTTCAAATTTGGTATCTCCTGACTCATGGAAGCATCATCTTGACCACTACCTTCATCCTCATCTGACTTTCTCCCTGGGTGTTGTCTGGATGTCCATTCTTTTAAAAAGTGAAGACAGTCACTTTAGATTAGGGGTTATCTTCCTTCAGCCTGATCTTATCTTAATTAATTACAGATGTCATGATCTTTAAAAAATAATGTCATGTTCTAAGGTGCTGGAGGTTGAGGTTTCAGCATAAACTTTGGGTGTGGCAAGGGGAGACATACTTTATACCATAGTAGATAAAATGGGAGAAGAACTGACATACAGAGGTTCATGGCAGACTATTACTCTTCCTTTAGTTCTCTATTTTCTTTGTCCAACTCTTTTCCTCCATCTCTTCTATAGTTAAGACAGAACTTATCCTTTTTTGATTGAGGAATATGCCCCTGGCAAATGATGGGACTCTTTAAAGTATCTACTTCTTAGGAATGGTTTGATAAAGATGGTATGCCTAGCCCTGCCTCCACATGACTCCTCATGAAGAACCCTAAAGGGCTCTGACAACATGGGTAGACACAGATTTCTTGTTTGTACCTTTTTCTTTCTTCTCTTCCCAAAGCTCAACTTCAGGCCCTTTCAATTTACTGTGATGAAGATGTTTCCCCCTACCTTAGAAACAGAATGGAGATCATGTTGTAGAACAAATCATCATACTTTATTAATTCTTGCAAATAAAATATTTTCCAGGGAACAGAATTGTTGACATTAGTATTGGAACAAAAGTGATTCATGTAGATGACATTTTAATCGATAATTTCTCAAACATGTTTCTCATTGAGCCATTCAGTTTTATCTATTGATATTGGAAATACATATTTTTTTTAGAATTCCCTTACCCTTTGAGAATAATCTATGTAAACAAATGTACTATATTTTAGATGAATTAAAAATAGATAAAGTTATATTAATTTAATTCACTTTTTAGAATTTTACATATATATAAAATTACTCATGTTCTTTTAGAACTTGTAACTTGTCAAAATTCAGGTATCTACCCCAATATATTCTTGTCTTAAAAAGAACATATATGTTCTTTTACAAAGCTGTATATCTTTCAGTATTTCTCAGATCCTCCTTTAAATTTTCATTCATTGAAAATCACCATCTTTAGACCATGTTATGATACAAAGCTTGATTTGTATATGTTGGTTGGGTTTTTTTTTTTTTTTGCCACTTTACATAATGGTTTTCTTGATGAATGTGGGACAGAATGATTATAGCCGAGTACAAGTATGGCTTACCAGTCATGAGGAAGCTCAGGCCCTTAAAAAATGGAAGAGAGACCAAGAGTTCAGAATTCAAGAACTGTCTCAGCTGTACAGTAAATTTGTGAGCAGCTTGGACTATATGAGACCCTATCTCAATGTCCCACTGCCCTGAACAAAAAGAATTTAAGAAAGAATCAGTAACTCTCCATCCTTCAAGCACAGTAAAAGCTGAATAGGCACACTGTATGGAAACAAATGATAAAAACAGAATCATCATGGCTTTGATGATTATCGCTACACCCTCTCTCATTCTGGGCCTCCGGCATGCCAGACAAGCACTCCCATAGGAACCTACAGCCTTAGGCTTTTTTACTGTATGTTTTTCTTTAAGACTCTTCTAGACTTCTCATTCTTTGTCTACTCAATGTGCATTACAAATGGCGTGTGAATTTCTGTCTTGGCTGTCTGTATTGCAACTAATGGTGCAAACCATTTTTGGTGGGTCAGGGTCATGGGTTAGCACTTGGAAACATGGCTGCTACAAACCTCTTTATTGTCCTGTTAAAAGCTGAACAACTCAGAATTCCTATGTTAGTCTCAGATTCATGAGTTGTAGTTTGCTTTTACATGCTACTTTTGAAGTATAGTGAATTCCATCAACAACCTTGAAGACACTGACCTAAAGCACTTGCAAAGAGCTATTTAGATATATTTAAATCTTTTTTTTCATCATCAGAACTAAATTAATTCTACACAAAAGTTAAGTATGACATGTTCTATTCAACTTAATCTGAGGATAGCAAGACCCCATTTATTTTCACGTTGAGAGGTGAATACTCAGCTCAAGATTCTGACCACAAGAAAAAAAACTCTGTGGAAGAACTTTCCGTGTTCAGTATTCATCATGAAACGGATACTCAGGGTGGTCACTCCACCTGCAAAGACAGCCCCCCAAGAGAAAGACAATTTACCCTAATGGTGGCGTAGTTGTGTTACCAGCATCCTTTGATAAAGTCATTGTCTCCCTGTTTTATTTCTGGTCATTTCCCTTTTGTTTCCCCTGTACTTACTTCTCATTTTCCCATAAGCCAGTACCTTGCCATGATGTAGACAAGCACATGGCAGGCATGGAAAGGTTGGTTGCAGCTATATCATTTCACTCAGAACAAAATAAGATGAGTGTCTTGCCTGCCCATACTTGCATTTGAAGTGTTACTATTTGTAATAATGATAATGATAACCCTATCTGTACTATTTATGATAATGAGCATGGTGATAATGATGGTGATGATGATGATGGTGATGATGATGATGATGACCCTACTTTTTAAATAACAGAGGAGACTCCAACAGTCTGGAGTGTGTATTTCTATTATGGAACATAGCCAAGATCTAGCTCTCTGCAAGTACTACAAAAATACAAAACAAACAGGGCTCTCCAATGTCAGAGATCAACAAAATAGCATCAGAGAAGAGTTACAGCTCACTACCCTTCAAAGATACAGTTATTTTTAAGTTAATGGAGCTTAATCTTTATATTATTTGTTGATTTTCTAGCTGTTTTCTGCAAGAATGAGTCATTTTTCTCTAGTATTGTTAGAATTGGTGTTAAATATTTCAGATGAGTCAAATAATGTTTTAGTAAAAGAAAATCTATAGGACTGTAGATTCAGTCCATATTATTTCTTCTTAATGTATTATTTTATATCTTCAAGAACCATTGATTGACTTATGGCTTAGTTTCCAACAAGATACTATGTGTTCTTGTGTTTTCTCATGTATTTTGAGGCTAGATGGTATGTTTTAATGCCAAGCAGAATTCTCCCTGAAAATTTACATTAAAGAGCTGTTTTATTACAGTAATTCAGAAAATCAATACCAGTCTATCCAACATACTTTCTGACTAATGAAAAGTAGTGAGTTCAATCACATTCCAACTCTGTATTGTTTCAAGGGGTGCTTTCTAACTCCTTCCTAAAGGGAAGACTCAGTAAAGTTGTGGCCCCCATGATTTGAGAAACCAAAATGAGTAATGGGGAATGATGAAGAACAAAAAATAAATGTGTATATACATATATGCTTTAGTTATCTGTGTATGAGCTACACTAGTTCTAATGTAAAAGTGCTGCAATGTTTGGGGAACAGAGACTTCTTCAGTGCCTTGACTGACCTTGGCAACATCTATACACAGTGTGGAAAAGTCTCATTGAAAAGATAGCTGATTGGCAGAGCTTGAAGCTCTAAGTCATTTTTAAAAGATTTATCTTATTTTTATGTGTATCCGTGTTTTGGCTTCATGTATGTCTATGTACCACATGCATGCCTAGTACCTGGTGAAGCCAGAAGAGGGTGTTGTAGTCCTGAGGACTGGAGTCACCGATGATTATAAGCCACCATGCAGGTGCTAAGAATTTAACCCAGCTCATTTGGAAGAGCAACCAGTGTTCTTAGCCACTGAGCCATCTCTCCAGCTTTATTTACTTTTGTCTGTACTTTTGAAAACAGGTATTCAGTATGTAGTTCTGGCTGGCCTGCAATTCATTAGGTACACCAAGCTAGCCTTGAACTCACAGAGATCCACTGCTTCTGCCTCCTGAAGGCTGGGATTTTAGGTATGTACCACTATGATATTAACTTATTTACTTAGTTTTGTTTTTGTGTATGTGTGTGGGTGTGAATTTATGTGGACCTTATGCATATAGGTGCCTCTATGGGCCAAGAGAGAGTTTTGGGTTCCTTGGAACTGGGGTTATTGTGGCTGTGAGCTGCCTGATATGGGTGCTGAGTACTGAACCCAGGTCCTTTAAAGAGCAGTAAGAGCTTTTAACCACTGAGTTATCTTCCCGGTCCTCAAGCTCTAAATCTAACAGGCAATAAAGTATTTGACTAGAGCTCTATGTTCTTGGTTCACAATCTGATATTCTTTCTCCTACTATACAAGCAGGCCTCTTCCAGAATTTAAAAAAAAAAAAATTCCCTCCAATCTTGGTATTTGTTTGATTTTTTAGTTAGAAATAAATAGTGTTGTTTTAGAATTGTATTGTCGCTGTAGCAGGTGTAGGATGAAGGGTTAATTCTCCTTGTCTCCATGTCATGCCTTTACCTAAGTGGCATATGTTCACCCGAGCATGTCTTATATTCAGAACATACTGCTTATCCCTCATCCAGATGTTCCTACCATGTGACAAGCACCACCTGATTAGAGATCCCGGGACACTTACATGAGCAACTCCACAAAGCGGACATTTTTATTCAAGGCTTCAATGTTCTTCATTTCTTCTTCAGTGAGAGAAAAGTCAAAGATCTGAAATAGTAGAAGTAAAAGACAGAATATTTGTGAAGATGGATCAGGGAGTGGAGACGGTGAGAGAGAGCCAGTATCTCTGTGAGTGTCTGAGAGAGCTGGGCTCCTTGCACACGTGTGTATGTGTGTGTGTGTGTGTGTGTGTGTGTGTGTGTGTGTGTGTGGTACAGCAAAAGGGATGATGGGGGACAGCTTGACCTTCTGCTTTGACCTTTGTCTTGGAAGCAATTCTGCTTGGGACCACTCAGACTTACTGAACAGTATGCATTTAAAACATCTAATGTTCCACAAGTGAAGATTCTTATTTTTTCAGATGAAACATTGGATTTTTTTTTCATTCTAGACTATTACCTAACTCACTGAAAAAAATATTTCCTAGTCTTTAAATTTGCTTATTCTTTTGTTTTGCATTTCTCTGATGGCTAAGGATACTGAGTATTTCTTTAAGTGTTTCTTGGCCATTTAAGATTTCCTAGGTTGGTAATTCTGTTTAGATCTGTATCTGCTTTTTTTAAAATTGGGTTATTTAGTTTGTTGATGTCTAGTTTCTTGAGTTCTTTTTGTATTTTGGGTGTCAGCCCTCTGTCAGATGTGGAGTTGGCGAAGATCTTTTCCCATTCTGTGGGCTTCCTTTTTGTCCTTTTGAGATCCTGTCTCATACCTGTCAGAATGGCTAAGACAAAAAACACAGTGACAGCTCTTGCTGGAGAGGATATGGAGCAAGGGGAACATTCCTCCACTTCTGGTGGGAGTAAAACTTGTACAACTGTTAGAAATCATTATGGTAGGCTCTCAGAAAATTATAAATCAATCCACCTGAAGACCCAGCTACAGCACTCCTGAGCATATATCCAAAGGACACTCCATTATATCACAAGGACTTGCTCAACTATGTTCATAGCAGCTTTATTTGTAATAGCCAGAAACTGGAAACAACCTAGATGTCCCTCAACTGAAGAATGAATAAAGAAAACATGGTACACAACAGAGTACCATTTACACAACGGAGTATTGCTCATTTAAAAACAATGACATCATAAAATTTTCAGGCAAATGTATGAAACTAGAAAGGATTATCCTGAGTGAGGTAACCAAGACCCAGAAAGACAAACATGGTAACTTATAAGTGTTATTAGCTGTAAAGTAAAAGACAATCATGCTATAGTCTACCAGAGAAGCTAAGTAACAAGGAGGGCTTAAGGGAAGATGCAGGATCTCCCAAGGAAGGGGAAATAAAATCGATTTCACAGGTGGACTGGGTCAGTGAGGTTGGGAACAGGACAGATCAGACAGGGTGGTGGAAGGGGATATTGGGAGAAATGACTGGAATTGGAGGCATTTCAGAAGTGAGGTGGAAACTAGTACAATAGAAACTCCATGGAATCTGTGAGAGTAACCCTGTAGAGATGCCTAGTAATGGAGACACAGGCCTGAACTGACCATCCTCTGTAACCAGGCAAGGCCTCAAATGGAAGGGTCGGGACACTAATGCAGCCAGAAAATCTTCTACCTACAGATGGTCCTGCTGGCAGAGTGTGGTGGGACTGGAGCCTAGAAGAGTCATCATCAAAGAGGCCAGATATACTTCATCCAGCAACTGACGGCAACAGATGCAGAGTCCCACAGTCAAATATTAGGAGGAGCTCAGGGGTCCCGTGGAGGAGGGGGAGGACTGGAGGAACCAGAGGGATCAGGGACATATCACAAGAACACAGCTCAGAGGATCAAATGACAGTAACTCATGGGACTGGAAGAGATCAGCCTGCTGAGGTCCTCTGCATATCTGTTATGGCTGAGTAGCTTGGCGTTCTTGTGGAAATCTTAACAGTGGAAGCTGGGGCTGTCCCTGACTCTTTTGCTTGCTTGTGGGACCATTTTCCTTCTACTTGATTGCCTTGTCCAGCCTTGATGTGATGCTATGTGCCTGGTTTTTATTGTAGCTTGTTATGCTGTGTTTGTTTGATGTCCCCGGGGAAGTCTGCTCTTCTCTGAGGAGAGGAGAAGGGTTGGATCTGGGGGAGAGGGGAGGCCTGGAGAGAGGGAAGAGAGGTGTGGGGGAAAGAAGGGAAAGTAATATATGAAAGAAGAGATTTTTTAAAAGAATAAATTTGTTTATTCACCATTATTATTATTGTTATTGAGACAAGGTCTTGCTTTGCAGCCGGTCTGGATCTTGCTAAGTATCTCACAATATTTCTGCCTCAACCTTCTGAGTGTTGGGATCACAGGTGTGCACCACTATTTCAGTTTTTCTCATCATTTAAAACATCTTTAGGTTTTTGTTACAATTATTTTCTCTCTCTATTTCTCACATTTATTTATTTAGTGTGTGTGTATGTTGGTACACATGTGGGAGAATCTATTTTCTCCTTCCATCATGTAGCTTCTGGGGTTTGGACTGTTGTTTGGTTGGTTGGTTGGTTTTTTTTTTTTTCAGACAAGGTTTCTCTGTGTAGACTTGGCCATCCTAGAACTCACTCTGTAGACCAGGATGACCTCTAACTCACAGATCTGCCTGTCTCTGCCTTTGGAACACTGGGATTAAAGGTGTTGGCTACTATCTCCGCCGTTTATTAGTTCCTTTTAAAGTGATGAAAATTTTGGCAACAAGTGCCTTTACCCTCTAAACCATTTTGCTAGCCTGTTCTTACTTTTTCCTATCTCTTTACTTTGCTGTTATAAGATATTTGCTTATTGTACATAGAAAAACTAATTGTTAGCAAAGTGTAAAAACTTAAATAGGCATTGCGTTTGTCACATACAGTTAGGTGTGACCTGAAGAGATGTAGTTTAGGTGTACCTCTGAAAGCCTCTACAGATCAGAATGCTAAAGAATGTTTTAAGGCAAGCTGTTTGGGGGAGGACTTGTGTTCTTTGCTCTGTGACTGGCGGCCTCGAACTACCCCACCATAAAGATGAAATGGCTCAGCCCCTACTGTCTTGGTTTGGAGGACTCACCACCACCACCACCATGATGGTGACATCATTCAGCCTGCCAAGAGTGTAGGGAAGGAGTTTGAAATTTCTTTTATACGCAATTATACCTGTGATAGAGGTCTCTCTGTAACTCTAGTCTCTCTCTTTCTCTTTCTCTCTTAGGTTGGAAGAGCCCTTTGGAGGAGCTTTGGGTAACAGCGCACTGAGGAGCTCTCTTGGGTTTGGAGGAGCACAGAGAAAGGTAGCTAAGTAGGTAGGATGACACTGATGAAAAGAAAATCCTAAAGAGCTAGTGGTTTAGTTGTAGGACTAAAAAGTTGTAAAACTTGTAAATAGATATTTTGTACATAGTTCAGAAAATAAAGTTGCCTCACTCCATCTTTATTGATACAAATATTAAATAATTTAAATGGTTACACTTTATATTTTATTATCATTATGTACATATTCTGTATTAGCATTTAATATTTTATTTGCAATTCAATTTTAATATTTAGTTTATCTGCTTATAATTAATAATTTTAATTATGTGAGCAGCCTGTAAATCTATGTTCTTTGTTAACTAATGCTATAGGATAATAGACATGTATGGGATGAAAAGGGAGGAAGTTTCTCTTCATTCACTACTCTACTTTATTTCCCTTTATAGATACTAAATATGTTAGAAAATATGTAGCAGACAAATGCAGCGTATAAATTTTCCTTTACTTATATATTAATGGTCCTTGTAATCTGGTCTACAAAAATATATAGGTAACCTTATCATTTACTTTTCACAATATATATTAGATACACTTACTTAATTTCTCCTCTATGAATCATTTTCAAGGGTTCTCTTCAGGAAATTCTTTCTTTGATTATTTATTATCCATATATTGAAGTTCAAATACCAGCACCCACATAATGTCTTACAACACCTGTAATTCCAGTTCTTGGGGTCTGAGAGCCTCTTCTGGCCTCTGCAGGCAGCAGGCCTGCACATAGTGCACATGTGAAAATACAGGCAAAGCACTGGCACATAGAAAAGAGTTAAATATAGATATTTAAATTTAATTACATAAAACCAGTCCTAAACAAGCTAAACACTCAAAATATGAGTGTGTCTATGGATTTACATCTCTATTTTGTGGTTTACTGTGGGTCTTGGTCAGAAACTGCAGCAGGTCTTATAAGGACACAGATTTCATGAGGTCAATGATGAGAGAAGATTTGAAGATCTATTCTAATTAAGACACAGGCTATCCCAAATAAGGACAAGGTCAAGTTTAAAATTCTACTTTGGAAGGTATATCAATATATCTATATAAAATTTGAAGAAAAGAAAAGCCTTCAGATGAAAATTATTCTCCCCAGGGTCATTCTACAAAAGCTTCTGTGTAAATTTGTCAGTTGTCTTTTAAAGAGCCAACACTTTTTCTGTTTCTTCTAGGAGTCAATATGCATAAGCAACTGGAACCTAAATTTGCTGTGACTCCAATAAGTCCACTGATTTTTATAAATTTTGGTTTTTAATTTAAGATAAACTTCTAATTTCTCCCTTTCCATGTGTGTTGTTTCTAATCACTGTTTTTTCTTGTTTAGTGTGGATTGATTTTCTGTAGTCTTTTTTATTTCATGACAAGTGGAGATTTCATATTATGACATTAAATTAACTGCCAGATACTTGTGCCTGTAATCTCAGAACTTGGGAAGTGGACGCAGAAGTGTCAAGAGTTCAAAGCCATCCTTAGCCACACAGAAGGTTTGAGGCCAGCATGGAAAACCAACCAAACAAGTTCTTGCTACTGTTCTCAAAACATTCCATGTCATACAGCTTTCCAACCGAGTAAATATTCCAAGAAGGAGAGTGTGCCAACTGGACTAAATGTGGTTGAAAACTGAGACCTCACAAAGACTGAGAACAAAGAATCTGCTCAAGCAGAAGTCTTGGCTACCCTGAGAAAAGCTCTCCCACGTAGACTGTCAGCATGAAAGTTCGATTTTAATGAGTCAAAAAATAAGAGGGGACGTGATCCCAGAGCAGGTTTCCTTTTCAAGAGGTTGTCTGTAAAAAAGAAGGAAAGCAGTAGAAATAGCCAGAGAAAGTAGATCTGCATTGGTTTTTAGTTTACAAGACTGGAGGTGTGTCTGTTGGTAGAAGTTGCACAGCCAGAGGAGTATTTGACATGCAGGACACACAGAAGTGACACATACGTGAGACTGAGAACATTTCCAGGAGTGACACAGCAGCCACTACTGTCTTTCCCCTCTTTCAAAGGTAATTCTCTTACCTGAAAGTTTTCTTTGATCCTTTTGAGTGTAAAACTTTTAGGAATGACAACCACCCCTCGCTGGATGTTGAAACGCAACCCAATTTGAGCTTCTGTCTTATTGTACTTCTTCCCCAGTGAGGTTAAGAGTTTGTCATTTAACAAGGGTGGAGAAGACGTATTCACCCTTGGAGAGGTAGAGAGAAAAGAAAATACATGTCATCTTTAGATGAGAGCCAAGAATTCATCAGTCATCCTGCTGGTGTCCTTATTCACTTGGCCACTGCTAGGACACTCAAGTCACCTATAGTTAATTTCTCTGAATGTGAATCATGAAACAAAAACTTGCTCGTAGCATGAGAAGATCAAGAGACACGGGTGGGTAGGGTTGATTCAGAGGACAAATAATATATATGATATATGTACGTATATAATACACACACACACACACACACACACACTCCACAAGCTCTCCCTCTTCATGAGTGTGGGTATGGGGTGAAGTTTGGTCTGAAGTAGAAAGGCAAAAAGACAAAGTAAGTAGCTCAACTCTTGCAATCAAGGTAGACATTTTCCTAAAGCTTCTTGGATTCCACCAAAGGTGTTGCCACTGTGTACCAAATTCAACAGCTTACAAGCTTTCAGAAGGTGGCTGCAGAAACTCTGTCCAGTAATGCTTCAACATTTACTGAGCATTTCTCATCAGGCAGCAACAGGAAATGCTATACATTTAATGTAACCAACAAGTAAACCCCTCAATGAGGAAGGTATCACAAGTTTTTATTTGTTTATGGGGATTTTGACTTGAAAGGCCATTTCTTGAAGATCACACAGGCAAACAGAGTCTTTCCACTCAAGCTAATTAACACTGGTTTTGTGCCCTGTCCACACGGAAAGAGACACTTCTTGAGGAGAATACAGCATTACTTACCAGGCTGGGTTCCGACAGGTCCCTAAAGGGCTATGTGCGACAATAACAATGTCATGCTGCTGGCAAAATTTCAACAGTTTTGGCTGGGTGAAATACGGGTGGCATTCTACCTGTGTGGTAACATTCGAGAGTTATGTTAGAGGGTAGAGAACAAGATTAAGGCCTATAACCAAATGCAGGTTCACGTAACTTTCAGGAAGTTATTCAGGGACTGGTAGGATGACACAGTGGGTAAAACTCTTGCCAACAAGTCTTGTGACCCGTGTTCAGTCCCCAGGATCCACATGGTGCAAGAATAGAACCAACTTCTGCAAGTTGTCCTCTGACCCTCACACACATTGTGTGGCACATTCACACACACTGATAAAACAACAACAGCAATAAAAAAAATCACAAATGCAAACAGTCATCCAGAAAGGCTGAACCAATGCTCACTCATTGACACTCTCTCCCTTGCTTAGAGGAGCCTAGAAAACCGCGTGAAACAAAAATGTCATAGTTTTTTTTTAGCGGATTTCTTTCTTTTTTATTTTATGTACATGAGTGATTCGCCTGCACGTGTGAATGCACCACCCGTGCGCAGTGCCTGCAGAGCCAGAAGGCAGTGTTGGGCTCCCTGGGGCTGGAGTTACACATGGCTGTGAGCCATTGTGTGGGAGCTGGGAACCCATCCGGGTCCTCTACAATGCTGATACGGATGTGTTTACATGTAACAGAAAATCACACCTAAATTCAGCTTTCTCCAACAGTGAGTAGGACACTTCCCCCAACTTTAATAGTCTTGGGGATAGTTTTCTGTGAATTCCCGTCTGTTTGTTTTGTTAACTTTGTGTTTTAAAGGCTTTTTTTTCCCCATCAAGTATTTTGATTCATTTGTATTAGTCTTTTAATTGATAAATATATGGATTCTTTTATCATATTTAAACATATCAGTTTTTTGTTTGTTGTTTGTTTGTTTGCTTGCTTGCTTACTCTCTGCTTCTAGCAGTTTTTCTTCTTCTCTCAGTTCTAGAGACTTAACCTTGGGCCTGTGCTAGACGAGCAGGCCATTGGTCCACCCCACTACCCTTCCAGTGTGTTTACATTGATCCAGGCTTTCTTTATGGCTTTTCCATGGCTTGCTTTTGTAGCCATTGTTCAAAAAACAAACAAACAAACAAACAAACAAACAAACAAAAAAACACCTAAATTCTTCTATTGTATTCACAAATGATTTCTGCCTTTTAACTTTGGAGTGTGCTGTGAGATGAAGCTCTGGCTGGTTGTTTCTAGAGAGCTGGCCATTCTTCTCAGACAATTGAAAGATTCATGCCTTTGCCACTAGTTTGTGTTGTTGCATTTTTAGAGTAGATTTTTAGTGTGTCTTCACCAGCCTTTAAGTGTTTGTTTTCTCTCATCAATCTGCATCTTGGTTCACATGCCACCCTTCATACTTTACTGAGTTTTGAGATAAGGTATTGGTATTTGTGGGTCTCAGACTCCTGGACAGAAGGGACCCTACCACGTCAGTTTCCTGAGCCTTGCATTACTTTAAATTTCTATATTATGACTTGATTCAGCAAGTCTCATTTCCTTCTCATTACTTTTCTTCTTCTTCTTAAAAAAAAAAAAAAAAAAACAGTTTGGTTACATTTACCTTGATTTGAGTTTTCAAATGGCTTTGTTTGCTTGTTTGTTTTCTTTGAGACACACTCTTGCTTTGCAGCCCAGGCTGGCCTCAAACTCAGCCTCCTCTGCATCTCCAGATGTGCCCACCATGCCTATTTTGCTTTCTGGAGACAGGCAGGCCATGAACTCTACGGCTTGGACGACCTTGTATTGGGCCCTTTTTCTTAAGATGTGTGGATCGAAAGAAATGAAAAAGGTTGGCCTAGAGACTTAGACTGTGATTTCTGTGGGGCACCTAGAAGACTTCCTGCTCTAAAGTCCAGGAGCCTTGTTATCATTTAAGCATTTTACTGCCCCCCCCCCAACACACACAGTGGAAGCCATTCCACTCTACCTGGTTGACAACAGGCTTGTACTTGAGTCCTGGCTTGTTCAAGATGAGCTCCAGCTGCCTTCGGTTAAAATTAGACACACCAATAGATTTCACCAAGCCAGCATCTTTGCAAGCTTCCAGTGCCTATAGGGTAAATGCCAACAGTCAAAAAATCTGCTCTCAGGAGCCAATCATGAATGTGTGTTGTGCACACCCACTCTGCTCCCAAATAGATACATAGTATAAAAATCAAAACAACAGAAAATTCATTTTGATAGATTCTAATATGTGCACATACTAGAAAGACTCATTTATTTATTTATTTTTAATTTTATTATTATTAGTTACATTTTATTAACTCTGTATCCCAGCTGTATTCCACTCCCTTATTCCCTCCCAATCCCACCCTCCCTCCCTCAGTTCCTCCCTGCCCCTTTCCAAGTCTACAGATTGGGGAGGACCTCCTCCCCTTTCGTCTGGTCCTATTTTATCAGGTATCTTCAGGACTGGCTGCAAAGTCCTCCTCTGTGGCCTAGCAGGACTGCTCCTCCCTTGGGGGGTGGGGAGGTCAAAGAGACTGCCATTGAGTTTCTGTCAGAAATGTCCCTGTTCCCCTTACTAGGGAAACCAATTGGTTATTGAGCTACCACGAGCTTCATCCGAGCAAAGGTTCTAGGTTATATCCATACATGGTCCTTGGTTGGAGAAACAGTTTCAGAGAAAACCCTTGTGCCCAGATATATTTGGTCCTTGTGGCGCTCCTATCCTTTCCCCATCATACTAACTCCCCTTCTGCCGAGGTTTGGTTATGAGTCTTAGTATCTGTTTTGAAACGCTGCTAGGTAGAGTCTTTCAGGTGCCTTCTGTGGTAGACTCCTGTCATACGTCCAATGCACATCCCATTTGTCTTTCTAAGTGAGGATTGATCATCCTACCTGTGTCCGCTAGAAAGACTCATTTATACTACTCACTTATAAACACCTTCAGTGGAGTGCAGATAAATATTTAACATCCAGCCATCCAGGGCAAGGAAAACAACAATAACTCAATTTATAGCATTTGCCAATTCCTATGGTGTTACTTTATCACTAATCTCTATTCAAGCTAGCAGAATGACATCCCTGGCTGTGGACCTACAAAGACATTTTCAGAGTCAAGTTTTGCAAGCTGGTGTGAGCTAGTTTCAGCTCAGTTGAAAAGACACTCTCTCCCATTGACTTGCCCTGAACTTCCAGTTACAATCTTGACATCGTGTTCTATGGATCTATTTTAGTTTTCCTTACACTGTCTCACTGGCTTACCTGTTCTGTTAATGTTACAATGGCTGTAATTCTAACAATTCTTATATTTATTGTAACTCCTTTAACTTCTTTTTTCCTTATTATTATTTTAAAGTGTTTTTGGATGGTGCTGGAGAGATGGCTCTTAGAGGACCCACATTCATGCCAGCACCCATGTCACACAGCTCACAATGGCTTGTAACTCCAGCCCTCCATAGACCACCACACATGGCATATGCTCATCCAAAAATAAAGAAAAATCATTTAAAAATTATTCTTTGGAAATTTCTTACATGTATATAGTGCTTCTTCATCATGTCTCCTTCCTTTCCTTTTTTCTAAGTTTTTTGGGAACATTGCAAATATTTGTATTTCCATATAAATTTTAGCATTAGGGATTTTTTATTATTATTTCAATAAGTGTTTTTTGTTTGTTTGTTTTGTTTTGTTTTATTTGTTTTAACCAGGATTGCCTTAAGTCTTTGGTCAAGTTTGGTGAGAATTAACATCATAACATATTGAATATTAAGGGATGTGGTATATTTCCCCTATTCATTTAGATCTTTGATTTTGTTAGTTGTATACGATAGTTTTTAATGTTGAAAGCTTATGCATATTTTATCAAATTTCTATCTAAATATTTAATATTGTTTTTTAGAGATTCAATTCACATTGTGTGAGGCTAACATATGGATTGCATATAGTTGGTTTTATTTTCTTTTTGTCTTATGAATTATTTATATGTATTTCTCTGTTCCTAAATATTTGATGTTTTCTCAGATATCTTTTTGTTCTTAGTTTAAGATTTAATTCCAGCTTAATAAGACTACACACTTTGCATAACCAGGATACTTAAAAACTTCCTGAGATGTTTTGTGGATGAGAAAGCAGGACTCTGGTCACATTGTCTGTGGGTACTAAAAGAGTGGCATTCTGTTTTATGGTTTTGTTTTGTTGTTGTTGTCTTTAGACTTTTACCCATTTTTGAGTATGGGTATTGTGCCTGCAAGTCTATCTGATCACATGTGTGCAGTGCCCGCAGAGACCCAGAAGAGGGCATCAGATCCCCTAGAACTGGAGTTATTCACAGTTGGTATACACAGGTACCATGTTGTGCTGCAGACCAAATCTGGGTCCTCAGCAAGAGGAACAAGTGCTCCTAACTACTGAGCCATCTCCCCAGTCCCTCTGCTGGTCCATGAGAGTAAATTATGTCAAAAGGCAGATCATGCATGACTCTCACCCCACAGATTTTATGTGTAGCTATTATCTTAATTAGTAATAAGCTTTGCAATATTTAATTATAAGCATGGATTGCTTACTTTCTTTTGTTGTTGTTGTTAGTGTAGGCTTCATGCCTAAACTTCTTTCTAGAAGCTGAATTAGCCACCCCAGACTTCTTTGGGTTAAAACTATCCTGATATATATTTTTTTCTATAGTTGTTTTTCCTATTAACATGCTTTTGTCTTTTTATTTAAAATTGTGCTTCATACACACACATGTGCGTGCACACACACACACATATAGTGGAACTTGGTTTTCTGCATTTTGGCAAACTCTACCTTTTCATGAAGGCATCTACACTACACATATTCAACAATTATTGACATCACTAAGTCTTCAAGATGGGTATTTATTTTCTCTTCTCCATCATTTGTTTCCCTTCTTTCTGTGCCTTTTTTTTTTCAATTGATTACTTTATTATTCTACTTTTTCCTCCTTTGTTGGTGTATTTACTATATTCTGGAAGTTTAAAATTTTTTTTCACCTTGTCTTTCTCCTTGATATTCTGAGACCTCATTATAACCATTGTAGGAAATTTGAGAGAAATGTGTTGTCTTTTCTATTAAAGGGTTAAATATGACAAAGGAAACACCATTTTAAAAGACAACTGAAAAATACCATTTAGAAAAAAAATCTCTTCTCAGGTCATCATTTTCCTAAAATCAAAATATACGTTTGAAGTGTACATTCTGTGTAAAGCTGGGTTCTGTTTATCACTAACTTTTAAATCAGCCAGTTGCATAAGAATGTAGGCTAGAGAGAAAGGGGGATGGAAGGGAAGATTTTGGGGGTAGACTGGGAAGAGAGGAGGGAGAGGGCACACTTGGGATGTAGAGTAAATAAACAAACAACAACAAAAATAAAACAGGAATGTAAGGCTGGGCCTGACCACCTGACCACATCCATCGTATGAGGCATAGGACCCTGAGAGTTAAGAATGAAGTCGATGAGATGGCTTACTTGGTTTAGCACCAACACACCTTCGGCAGAAGGAAGCTTTTCTGCACTGCTGAAATATCTTGGGTTAGATAGTTGTTTTCTTGAGACCTCAGGGCCCATTCCCAGCACCATGCAGACACGATTTCTTCCTTTTCTGCACTCTATGATCAGCCCAGTATCTTTCCTTCTTCAAATATTGCTGTCTTCTCTATTCCCTACCTCTTCACTGGGAATTCCAATTTTATTCTTTTTTCTGTTGCTTAGTTTTTCCTTTTATGTTGAAGTAGGTTTTGTTTTGTTTTCTCTTCTTTGTATTAGGGAATTTCCTCACTCTGATTCTTAAGTTCTATATTCTTTCTAATTTTGGCTGTTTCTAATATGCATTCCCATGTATTTAAAAAAATGTTAGTATTTTTTGCTTGCTTGCCTAAGTGTTTTTGTTGTTGTTGTTTATTATACATGTAGCTGATATCTCTTTTTACTGTCTTTTATTACAAAGATCCTTGGTCCTTTGTTCTGTTTACATTGGGATATATTACTAAGTGTTTTTTCTGAAGCAAATGTCTTGCTCATTTTCTTTTCCAGGAGGCACCTTAGAAGGGAGCACGAGACCCCCACTTTCATCACAACAATAAAGCAAGTGTATGGCCTCTTGGATATAGGCCCCAAGAATCAGAAAACCTCCCTTAAACCCTCTGGATAGTTCTGTGGTTCAGACTCTCAGCTGTTGCTTCCAGAAGGAAATAGAAAGTCTTACTCATTCTTGTTCTCTTGGCTTTGGCTTGGCAGGTGGGCATGGGAGCAGAAGACGTGAACTGTTGTGTTAGGGTAAAGCTTCTACACAAGCCCATCCCCAGACCCGCACAGAACATCGGGCCTGCATACAGTCACAACAGTTTTTCATGTTCCTGAACTTTCCCACTCTTGTACTCCCAGGGAAAGAGCCAGTAAATGGTTCAGAAATGGATGTGGAATCATTTTTAGCTTCGCATGGGCTATTTTTAATTCATTTCTTTCAGACATCACATTAATTTTTAAAACTCAATTTTAAACCACAAAGTTATCTCATTTATGTTTTAGAGTACTATTTTGGTAGAACACATTTTCTGTATTTCTTTTTATATTCCTCAGAAATACTGTCTTCAATTAGGAAAAATTAATAATTTTTCACCACCAAGACTGCCTGACGTAGCTCATTGGATAAATGTGCTTGCTGCCTGACGACCTGAATTCAAGCTCCAGGACCCACATGGTCCCACAAGATATGCAACCTCACATACACACAATTTCAAGATTAAAAGAAAGACTTTTTGAACACCTACAAGCGGAAGTCTCATATATTTGCACGTGCGGCTAGAAATCTGTTACTTGTTATTAAATGTAAAGGTGTCAGCTGTCAGGGCTTGTGCAGGAAAAATAGGGGCTATAGGTAAAAATATAGGTCTTTTACAATAGCTGTCCACATGAACTTACCTCCCAAGTGGCACACAGATTTGATTTATGGTATAACCATTTGCCGTTTTCATCTTTAGGATAAATTTCCTTTCCAGGCTATAAAACACAAAACATTTATTTATGCCTAAGAACTAAAAATAGAAAATTTAAGCTGTCAACATATAATATACTGTGGCCTTGCAAATCAAGCTTACCAATTTATATACTTTTCTAACAAATATTATATGTACATATAAAACCTATGTATATGTACATATAACTATATACTATATTACACTCTATATCTTATTAATAATATATGACATGTAATTATACAATATTTTATCATTGTGGGAGTCCCTGCATGTGTCATAGCTGCAGGGAATTGATCCAGGTGAAGCAACATTGAAACTCTTCTTAGCTGATGCTGAGCCAAACTTCTTGGAGTTTGATATCAGCTGGTTTATTTTAGCCATATTTAAGCACAGTAAAATTTTGGAAAAAAAGGTTCCTGATGATAATTAACTCAGTTCCAAGTTACAACAAACTTAAGATGTATTTACATTGAAACTCTTTACAAAGTACATATGGTTTCTTTCATAAAGATGGTTTCTATTGACTCAGAATCAATGCTCAAGATTTAGGAGGGAAGGGTCTGAGATAAACAAAACATAAATTCTAGGAGGTATGAGTGAAGCCTGGCTGTACAGATAGCAACCAGGTTGTAAACTGACTTCGTTACCAGCATTCCAAGAGGAAGACAGGTAAATATCTCCTTCCTTTGAAGAGATGAGCCTGCATGTTTAACTTTCCTGGCTTCCCCTGTATTTATCTGTGTGTACAAGGACCTTTCACCCTCAACACTTTCCCATTTCTAAGTTTTTAAAGAAAAAAAATGGCCATGGTAAAGGACATGGTTGAATGCATTGCATTTATGACTAGTCTAATTACATAAGCATGCATAAAAACATTATAAGAATAGCTAACAAAGGACCAGGGAAAGGGGAAAGCCATATTAGCCATGATGGCCATTCAAGGTCACTTGAGAGATTTTGTCTATCTCTTTGTGCAAATCATTAATTTGAAAAATCTGACACATTAAAGCAACATATGCCAGGAAATTGTTGACAACCAAGATTATGTTTGAATAACAAATAATCTATATAGTTTTTTTTAAAACTGTGGTCCTCAGTTCACCTATCTCTTGATTAATTTCCACTAATATTTTTGCTGTAATAATAATAGTTTTACTAATCATATAGGCCATCTTTGAGACTTCTCTTTGTATGTCAGTAACCATTCCTGGGTTTGGCAATGAAAGAACATAAAAACAATCTTTAGGGGGGGGGGGCCAAGATGGTGGTGCCAGGAAAACACTGCATCTGAGGAGCAGGACCACATTTTCCGTACAGTGACCAAGAGACTAAACTCTGGGCCCTAAAACAACAGCGATCGTGTTTCCCAGGTGAGAAGAAACCCCCATGGCGTGGGAACCAGTTGGGTCCACTCTCAGGCCACCCAGCCAGAACCCAGAAGAGATCCCCGGTCTCGCAGGCACTAGGTCGCTGGACCAGAGCCACATGCCTGCAAGCCCCATCACCTTCCCAGGCTGAACGGTTGGCACAAAAACACCAGAGACTGGGAGTCCCAGTCGTGAGAAAAACCCACGGGGAAAGAAAGTAGCGGGACTGGCCACGGGTCACCCAGGCTTTTCCTGGAAAAAGTCTCGCAGATCGGCAGGTACTCCCCAGCATCACTGAACTGGCCTCCCGCCACCAGCACGGAGGGGCTGCACTCCAGCTCTCAGGCACAGACGAAGCTGTGCACCCTAGTGCAACAGAGACAGGGAGTTCCTGTCAGGAGAGGGCCCCACAGGGAAGGAAGGAAACAATACTGACTTGGGACACCCAGGCTTTACCTGGGGAAAGTCTCTCGCAGACCAGCGGGTACAAACTGCCATCACTGATCTGGCCCCAAGCCAGAAGCACAGAGAGTAGTTGGGCACCCAGCTCCTGCAGACTAGCAGGCAGGTGTGCGAGCTGCCAGCCCAGAGACCTGCTTTGTACCAACTATTTCTCACAGACAGAACTGTGCACCCCAGGACACCAGAGACCTGGAGTCACTGTCTGGAGAAATCCTCACAGGGAACAAAGCAAAGGGGAGGGACTTAGACCACCCAGTATATCCCCAGAAAAGGTCCCGCAGACTGTCACAAACCAGGGACCTGCTATGCACCAGATAGCCTGCTGTTACCAGGAGAGCAGTACTCACCCGCCATAGATTACTGCTTGGGTACTGGGGCACAGAGCCCCAACCCCAGACCTACAAAAGTTCAGGATCCCCGAGATCAACCCCAGATACTGCTCCAAGGGACAACCAGTTATCCCTAACAAAACCGACCAAACCACGGGACACACAGGTTACAGAAGCAGATCACTAAATTCACAGCAAGAGACTGGGCAGCTGTCTTCAGGACTTCTCCTGGTGAGAGGAGAGCCCTATCAACTAATAAGGACAACAATTACCATTTAGGTCTCTACACCTGAGGTGAGCAGCAGTAACTCCTGAAAAACACCAGCCATCCAGTGACTACACCCAAAAAGCTGAGAAGGCTTCCTTCAGGAAAAACTATCTTCCTACCAAAGGGATTCTCTCCACCACAGGATTCCAGGAACCACCAGAAACCAATTCCAAACACCTAAGATAACCCAATGGGTAGAGGCCAGCATAAAAGTTCAACCAACAAAAGCCAGAGCAATATGGCATCTCCAGAACCCAGTTATCCAGGGACAAGTAGCCCTAGACACCCCAGCATACTTGAAATGCAAGAAGAGGACCTAACATCTATGCTCATGAAGAGGATAACAGAGGAAACAGATAAAATGCGTAAAGAAATAGAGGAAGATAAAAACAAACAGTTTATGACCATCCGTAAAGAAATAGAGGAAGTTGCAGCCAAACAGTTTGTGGCCTTTAGAGAGGAAATGCTTAAATCACTGAATGAAATAAAAGAAAAAGAGGATTGTTCAAACAAACAGCTGAAGGAATTGATGGAAAAGCAGGAAAATACAGTCAGACAGGTGAAGGAAATCAAAATGGCTCAAGACCTGAAGATAGAATTGGAAAACTTAAAGAAAACACAAATGGAGGAAATTGTGGAAAGAAAGAACTTAGGGAAGAAAACAGGAACCACAGAGGTTAGCATAACCAATAGGCTACAAAAAATGGAAGAAAGAATCTCAGGTGTGGAAGATACAATGGAAGAAATAGATGTATCTGTCAAAGAAAATGTTAAATCTAAAAAATTCCTGACACAGACCGTCCAAGAAATTCAAGACAACATAAAAAGACAAAACCTAAGAATAATAGGAGTAGAGGAAAAAGAAGATTCCCTGCTCCAAGGCCCAGAAAATATTTTCAACAAAATCATTGAAGAAAATTTTCCCAACTTAAAGGAGAAGCCAATAAGAATACAAGAGGCCTACAGAACACCCAATAAATTAGACCAAAAAAGAAAATTCTCCCACCACATAATAATCAAAACCGTAAGTATACAGAACAAAGAAAAAATACTAAAAGCTGCAAGGGAAAAAGGTCAAGTAACATATAATGGCAAACCCATCAGAATCACACCTGAATTTTCAACAGAGACTATGAAAGCCAGAAGGGCCTGGATGGATATCATGCAGATCCTAAGAGAACACAGATGTCAGCCCAGGCTACTATACCCAGCAAAACTCTCAGTCCTCATAGATGGAGAAAACAAGATATTCAATGACAAAAACAAATTTCAACAATACCTACACACAAATCCAGTGTTACAGAAGACACTAGAAGGGAAAATACAACCCAAGAAAATTATCTACTTTCAAGAAAACACAGGAAATAATTAACCTCACTACAGTAAAACAAAAAGCAACCAAACACACAACCTTATGACCACAGCCAACATCAATATCAAAGGATCTAACAGCCACTGGTCATTAATCTCTCTCAACATCAGTGGACTCAATTCTCCAATAAATAGACACAGACTAACAGAATGGATGCGTAAACAAAACCCAGCAATCTGTTGCATACAAGAAACACACCTAAGTCACAAAGATAGACATTACCTGAGGGTAAAGGGTTGGAAGATGGCTTTCCAAACAAATAGACCCAAAAAGCAATTAGGAGTAGCCATTCTAATAGCTGATAAAATAGACTTTCAACCAAAATTAATCAAAAGAGATGGGGAAGGACACTTCATACTCATCAAGGGAAAATTCCAACAAGAAGACATCAAAATCCTCAACATCTATGCCCCAAATACAAGGGCACCTACATTTGTAAAACAGACATTGATAAAACTTAAACCACACATAGATCCCCACACATCAATAGTGGGAGACTTCAACAAGCCACTCTCAACAAAGGACAGGTCAACAAACCAGAAATTAAACAAAGAAACAATGTCTCTAACAGAGGTCATGAATCAAATGGACCTGACAGACATTTACAGAACCTTACACCCAAACACAAAAGAATTTACCTTCTTCTCAGCACCTCATGGAACCTTATAGACAAAACCTTATATCTTGTTTTCTCCATCTATGAGGACTGAGAGTTTTGCTGGGTATAGTAGCCTGGGCTGACATCTGTGTTCTCTTAGGGTCTGCATGATATCTGTCCAGGCCCATCTGGCTTTCATAGTCTCTGTTGAAAAGTCAGTGTGATTCTAATGGGTTCGCCATTATATGTTACCTGGCCTTTTCCCCTTGCAGCTTTTAGTATATTTTCTTTGTTCTGTATACTAACTGTTTTGATTATTATGTGGTAGGAGGATTTTCTTTTCTGGTCTAATTTATTGGGTGTTCTGTAGGCCTCTTGTATTCTTATTGGCCTCTCCTTTAAGTTGGGGAAATTTTCTTCAATGATTTTGTTGAAAATGTTTTCTGGGCCTTGGAGCAGGGAATCTTCTTTTTCTTCTACTCCTATTATTCTTAGGTTTTGTCCAAAATAGTCCATATAGTTGGTCACAAAGCGAGCCTCAACAGATACAAGAAGATTGAAATAATCTCCTGTATCCTGTCTGATCACTGTGGAATAAAGCTGGATCTCAATGACAACAGAAATAG